TGATCAGGTTTAGTTTTATGCATCTGATTAATTCCTTTCATTATTAAGCTGCACTGGATCCATAAGCAGGCAAAAGTATTGGAAATATAATATTTTAATCAACTTGTGATATGGCCAAAGCCGTTGTATTACAACAGTGTGATTTATTATTTATTACACACATATTTCATTTCTTACAATAACAAGGTAAATCTCTGATATGTACCAAACAAACATATTTTCAATTAAAGTTTCATTTAATTTGAGGCAGTCACCAAGTAAAGGGATTTTATACCTTGTCTGTGTAATTAAAAACAAATATTTCTAGAAAGTGATAGCAGAACTCCAGAGAAGTTCAACGAGCTGGTAGAATGTCAATGCATCTAAGCTGTGGTCTCTCCTTGTGCAGAGCTGTCAGCATAAAACAATGAAATAAAAAAAAAAAAAAGATTATGTTTACATGAAAACCAATATTAAACTATAGGTCAGTACTTAATCCCTTGAACAGGGTATTAACAGTGACTTAATCCCGCCACTGCTCTGCATGTGGTCATTTATCTCTGAATTTTGGTAACATGACATGGACCTTAAACAACAATAAAAAACATGAAACCTTTTCACCCCCAATTAATTATTACTTTAAGAACACAAGGAAAATAGGAACAGAAAAACAATCAGAAAAAGGTAACTAAGACATAAGTTCCAGCTACTTATAAAGTTAGGCTTTACACACAGTCCGCATCTTGGTACAGTTTTCTATGAAGACGTCAGTAGATCATTTTCTCTTCACTGTTTTACTGTTTTAACTGTTATGAGTCTTAAGTTTTGCAAGAAACAGGAAATTGATAGGAAATTATCAATTGTTGATCTACCAACATCAGCATTCACATGTTTAGGCTCGTGCAAAATCCGAGGACAACTGTAAAAAATCCTCAACGCATGACTATAACTCAAATGTATACTTTTATGTAAGATCATTAGTACTGTACTATGATATTTTCCTGACTGAACTGTGTGGTAAACAAGGTTATAATTAACACCTACATTAATTTTAAGTGTCAAATCTTGCCTTTACATTTTGGTACTTGCTCTTTTTATCACATAATCAATGGTTTATGTTCATTTCAGTCCCTATATAAAGGTATATAGAGAGCGTAAATAGAGAGAATCTGGTAAATATCTGGTCCAGTTAAAGGTATAGTGGAGGATGTTCTTTTTCTTGGTGGACCACCAAAATAAATGGTCCTCCCAATTGTCACTCATTCTGGTGATATGTTTACGTAAGGCATGCATAGTGGAAAAACGGCTGATTTTCTTTTGAAAGTAAGCTTGTATCAACGATGCAAACAACAACTTTTAAACAGAGCGAGCACGAGGAGAAAAGGGCTCTTGCATGCTCTCGTTTAATAGGCGTTCCCTCTCGTTAGTGTATAAAGGGTTGTGCATGTGCATCTTTTTTTTTTAAAGTGGAGAGGGCGGGTCTTTTCAAAAATTCATGAAAATCCTCTCCTATACCTCTCCTATACCTCAAGTAGCTCATAATCTTGATGAACTGAAAGCACAGATGAAGTTTTCAGTGTGCATTCTCACGTAAATATCAAAATCAAAACTATTTAATGTGTTAATTCAATAAATTGGGGAATGACCCATTGACTTACAGTACAGACATTATAGCAGCAGCTAAAGGGGAAACCCATCCACACTCAGCTGGCCTGGCGCCCAGAGCGGACAGTACATAGGCCCTTTTCTCTGAAAAACTATTTAAAAAACAGGATAATTCACCATAAACTGACCACACAGATCAATCAGTAAGCCTAATTGTAAAGATTATTGTTATGGTCAATCACGCTGGTTTAGTTATATTAGACAGCATTGTTAAAAAAAATTTAGGTTCTATTCGTTAGGCACTGAGCCTAATCACTGTATTTTGATATTGTGGCTTCTTCCTCACTGAGTGGTGATTATACTTAAACAGATATGGCACCTACTGACATTGGGATGTTGAGCCTTAGTGAACTACATTAGACTAGTGGAGGCATACAGTTCTCCTCCTGATATTTGGCTTCCCTAAATTGTTTACAAGTATTCTAAACTTTAATTAAATATTAAATAAATAAATAATAAATAAATAATAATAATAGAATTATTACAATTCCTTGCCAAGCAAAACATTTTTCTGAATTATTAAACATTACAGATTATGTGCTCTTCATTGATTTTACTATATATCTTAACTATTGTGTAGAACAGTGGTTTTCAACCGTGGTGCTCCAGTATGCCCTGCCTGTGTTACATTTCTGCATGCAGCCACATACCTGACACATATCCTAGAGTGATTAACAGGCTTCTGTAGCTCTTGATGGCAGCTGAGGATGTCATTTAGTCATTTGAATGAGATGTGCTGCGACAGAGAAACATCTAAAGCATTCAGGGCAGTAGTACTTGAGGAGCAGGTTTGAGAACCACTGGTGTAGAAGCCTGGGGTAACACTGACAGGTCATTACTGAAACCTATATACAAACTGCAGAGAATAGCAAGCAGAATAGTTCATAAGGCTAGCTATCATAACCACTCAAATCCACTGTCATTTAATTCCTGTTTGAAATTCATCTGAGCTGCTGGAATTTCAAACATCCCATTTAATTTCTTAAGCTAGAAATAAACAGCTACCATACAAAACTAGCACTTACAAAATCTTTTTTGTTAGGAGAGAGAGGGAGGCTATGGCTAAAGAGATAATCTAAGTTTCAAAACCTGACAGACTTAAACCAACACGAAAAGAATGTTTGCATATGTACATAAATGTATTTATTTGCTCACTTAATGGAATTTAGGAATTGTTCAACTCTTTTCAGACATACAATAAATATATATAATATAATAAATTATACAGATAACATGACTTTATATATATATATATATAGACATACAAAATGTTGTCATCTGTCTTTATTTTAGTAGATTGTCTGAAATAATTCTATTCATTCATACTAATTTTAATGTATGTTAACCTGAAGATCTGAATAGAGGTATTTTGATTTTAAAAATTATTATCTTTAGGAATAAAAAAGCTATTTTGTTGGTCACAACTCACAAAACAAAGAAAATGTCAGATTGTAGATAAATATGGTTATTTTTCTTTTATTTCAGCTGATTTGATCAGATCAGTTATATGTCAATGTCACCTTGCCAATTCAATCTTGTTTTTGTTTACTTACAACTGACTTGTCCTGATTCACTTGACCCATAAAGGAGTGCAAACATAAACTGAACAAGTTCAGCTTTGCAAGGTGCGAGAGGTCTATGGTGCTTTTTGCAGAGTCTATAACCCTTTCTTATCTGGTGATTGACTTTAAATTGCAGATTAGACTTTGTTAATATGATGTGAATATCTCACAGAGAAAACATCACTGCTGACAGTGTCACTGAAGGCCTCGGGTTCCCGAGGTTTAACAAGCTATGGAATGTAGTATAAATGCAGAAGGTGTAAATGACAGAGAGGGGTTATAGGGGATCTGTTTGTGTCTGACAGAGGGTCGCTCAAATCATGCCTGGGCCGGATCAATGCAGAGCTGATACAGTTGACTGCCCTCTTATTAAAGCAGATAATGCCAACTATTTATAGATAACCTATTTATTAAGAACAGACGAGCTTGTTCTACAGCTGTGTATAGGATCTGCCAGGAGAGGTTAGTATTTTGGTGTATTTGAACATGTCTGTTTACCACTTGGTGGTCAGTGGTTGAAAAAGGCTTCTAAAAGTTTCTAAAATTAGTTTTGAACATTAAAAGCTCATTATTAGTGAGGATGTGGCATTTTATATTGGTACATGGGCAAAACAAAACTGAACCACCATTTTATATAAAATGGGCCTGGTTGTGTGTGTGTATAGCCAACTAAAACAAATATCCTGTTTACTATGCTCTGACCCAGTGGACATATAACAGGGAGTATGTCAGAGTGACCCTCCGCTGAAGGGAACAAATACCAAAAATGTGACTTTAGATATAAATGTGTATGAACTCTTTCAACAGTCCAGAATGATGTAACATTTGACTTCCGTCCAGCTTTTGGATACTTGAGCTGTGGGACTGGATTGCAGTTCATGCATGCTTCAGCCTCATGTAAACATCCATATAGGGGTTCTAACTAAACTCCTTGGCATGTTCTTTAATTTAGTTCATAGTGCTTCTCATAACTTTATAGAAATGATAAATAATTGAAATGTGCTATTTTGAACAGTTGCCACCAGATTAATCTACATTTTAAAAAGTCACATACTTAGGGGAGTGTTGACCTAGCTTGTGCTCTGAGAAGGTTGCAAATACAAGGTTTGATCCCCACAGCCTACACTCTAGGTCCCTGAGCAAGGCCCTTAACCCCACACTGCTCACCCGGCGCTGCACAGTGGCAGCTCACTGCTCTCCAAGGTGAGTCAAATGCAGGGGTGAATATCTCCAGTGTGAGAGTAATAAAGTTTCTATTATTATTATTATTATTATTATTGTTGTTGTTGTTATTATTGTTGTTGTTATTGTTATTATTACCACATCTAAAAACATACACAAAATGAAACCTTGAAAAAAACCGTATAATCCATTTTTAATGGAATAAAAAATAGATTAAGAAGTAGGGTTGTTAGACTGTTTCAGTTCAAGGATGACGCAATGTCTTGATCTGTTGCTTAAATGGACCTGAAATGCTCAGCTAAGTTGCGTCAGCCAGATCTATGTTAAAAGAATGACAACAAGAAAAACCAATCAGGAGCAAGGTGTATTAGATTGAAGCGTTAGCAACAAATCACAATGTAAACTGAAAACACGTCATACATTGAATTAGGACCAATCATGTGTCGAACATGGGTCTAAGTCCCGCCTCTCATAGGCGCACTGAAATTGCTTTGGCTAAAAAAGATCGGAGAGAAAGAATGCAAGGATATCATTGGTTGGAAGCGTTAGTGGACCCCCGCCTACTTCTCACTGCGCTTTATAAATAGCCGGACCTCACCTCGCCATCTTATCGAGGAAATGCGTCAGACTGAAAAACGTCGCATCTGGAGGGGAGACGACAAACACTGGCGTGTTTAGAACGGTTACATCTGTAAAACCTCGATCTTTCCATCCTTCCTCTCTAATTAATACCTCTACGGGCCGGCACAACAGCTGGCCAGGCAAATTTTCTCGTTTTTTTACCTCATCGAGCCACAGGCCCAAGCGGCTGCCATGGATTTTTAAGGCATAATGCGGCACCTCTAATGCAATGGCAATGCACAGTACAAGGCAAAACCAACCGCGAAACTCCATCTTCGCAACTGCCAAGCAGTTGGGCTCCAGTACCGTACGCGGTATCCCGGCGAGCCAACCGGTACCTCTTCTTCTGGATCGGAGGAAGCTAACGCTAACAACCAGCTAGTCACATCACGGCTGACCTTTTTTCTTTTTCTGAAAATAAAAACAAATACCATCGATTCATCTGAACGTCAACACTACCGATCAACATGAAACCTCAAGACATCATCGCAGGAAAGAGCAGCCTGTGGATCTTCGGGTACGGGTCGCTGGTGTGGAAGCCAGACTTCAAGTACAAGAGGAGCGAAGTCGGTTACATTCAAGGCTACAAGAGGCGATTCTGGCACGGAGATAACTTCCATCGGGGGGATGACGAGTCGGTAAGGTTAAATCCACTTTGAACCATGTTTTTATACCAAATATTTAGCTGTAAGTAATTAGGTCAAAATTCACGTTTAATTTTGACACTCTGACATAATCTTTGACATTAATGTATATATTTAGTCGCATATTGCAGTGATGCAAATAACATATGATGTGGTTTTGTTTTTTTCCCATGATGCAACTCGTTTCCTGCCCTCAGCCTGGCAGAGTGGTGACTCTAATCGAAGATGACAGCGTAAGTGGAAACTTCTTCTTACGTCCCTGAAACTGAGTAGTTCCTCTGACGTCATAGCTTAACCTCTCTTGTTTCCTTGCAGGCATCCACCTGGGGTGTGGCTTTTGAAGTCTCTGGCTCCCAGTTGGAGGATTCCCTCAAGTACCTCACTGTTCGAGAGACGGTCCGTGGCGGCTACATCACTAAGATGGTGGAGTTCTTCCCTGATGGAGAGGACCGGTCTCCGGTTCAAGCGCTGGTGTACATCGCCACCGTTGACAACCCTCTCTACCTGGGGCCGGCCAGTGCGGAGCAGATCGGAGCCCAGATCGCTGTGTCCAGAGGGAAGACTGGTCACAATCTAGAGTACCTGCTCCGGCTGGCGGAGTTCATGAGGACCAGCTGTCCTCAGGTTGAAGACCATCACCTGTTTGCTATAGAGCGGGCTGCGCTGACTGTGGTGTCATATCTTTTGGCAACTCAGTAGCTTGTACCCTTTGTTTCACTAGCTTGTAGCGGATATTTAACTCATCAGGAGGCTGTAATCCATCATCAGTCCATGTTTCAATAGATTCAGACTAGTATCTGAATCCTAATTCCACTAAAGTAACAAAATGTGCAATTATGAGCTGTAAGCATTATGTGGTTTGGCTCAAGACATATATTTATTTTCCAGTTCTGAAGCCGTCCAGTTCATTGTTAAAGGTACCAAAAGTTTACTGTAAAACTCACTGGTTACTGTGTTTGTGATGCAACCTTCATCCAGTTTTAAAGCAAAATGCCAATAAAAAATGGAAACATAAACTTTTTGTGCTTTTATTGTGAAAAGGGTTGAATGAGATTTCCTGTACTACACTATTCACTAAGTATCTGCTGGATAACCAAAAGGTTTTACTAAAGTGAAATAAACATACAAAAAGGCTTAATAGTAGCTTTAGTAAATGGTTTTAAGGTCTGTGAATTCTGTGGAGGCTTTTATAAAAGACGGTTGCAGAAATTACTTTTTCTCAACATGTGTTTTAAAGGTAAACTAAATATTTGCAGAAAGTTTTGGAACAAGTTGAAATTTCTGCAAGGGATGACATTCAGTGTATATTCTATTTGCTATAAATGCTTATGTGCACACTAAACATATTTCACTAACCTGTGGCGTTATAACTAATGTAGTTTTACAAATGCCAACACAAGCTTTTTACATGTCTGGGTCTGAGCTGTTTACCAAAGTTTGACCCCAGCAATGCGTGTAACAGGGGTCAGACACTCCCAAGCTGTGACCGGGGCAGCTTGTACCTTGGATGCCATTCAAGTCGGGTCTCTAGGTGCACCGCTTGTGTAACTGGCTGAGAGGAAACCCAAACTGGAAGTGCTGTGTTTACATGTCTGATTCATGAATTCTGCAGTTGAGACTCTCGACAGAGTATTTAAAACCCCAATAAATGTAATTAGATTGAACTACCAACATTTGCCTCAATTTAAAGATTTGCATGACCATGATGCTTCACCACTTTAAAGAAATCTATAAAGCATTTTAAGGATTTGAAAATTGGAGAATGTTTGTATTTCCTAAATATCTCGTTTTATACTTTTTTTTTTTCTTTTTTTGCCTTTACAGTTTTAATCTCGCCTTAATCTTTATGCCCTTTTGCTCTGCTTCCTCTCGTTTTCCTTCTGTGTTCTACATCCCTTAATGTGTTCTTTCCTTTTTCTCGTATTCTACATCCCTTCTGTATTTTTTTTCTTTCCTCTGTGTCTGATCTTACCTCCCTTCTTTTCCCCTCTTTGTGTTTTCTTCAGTTATACCTCAAGTACCTTTTCTTTTGTTCTTTTCTCCTATGCCATGTCTCTCTTCCTTTCTTTGTTTTTTGTTTTCTCCAGGATCCACAAGTAAAACCTACTCGATGTAGCAAGGTCAGAAAGGCATAGTGAACTTAAGCATGTATAATTTGAAATTAAAGATGGGGAACCTTGGAAAATACACTCTTAATTTTTCGCATGAGATATAGAGAAACAAAGGATGACCAAAACCTTTTTAGTTTGCACTGATTATCATATACTGCAAACTACAAGCTCTTAAAGAAGCTAACTTGGAGAGCAGCTTTTGTTTCACTCCTTATGGGGGAGGCAATGGAAGCAAAACTCTGCAGCATAATTTGCAATAAGAGGGCTTACTTTCCTGTGCAATGTGTTGGATAAAAAAACTGAGTAGATTTACAGTAGACTGACATGAAATGATGCCACAGAAAGAGCTCTAACCTGCTGAGTTACATTTTAAAAAGGAGAGGTTCAGATGCATTTTAAAAATGTGAGTTTTTTTCTATATTTGGCAGCTATTTTGACCAAATGCTTTAAGAAAATATAAATTGTTGGTTGCTGAAGCGGAGAGGATGCCTGAAGCACTACTTTAAAATATGTTTAAAAAAATAACAAAGGTGCGAACTGGGGATCTGTTTCTGTCATGTTTATATACATTATATATATATATGCTAAAAAAAAAAAAGGAACATGCAAACAACACAATATAACTGATTAAATCCAACTTCTGTGAAAAACTGTAGGGAAGCAACACTGATACCTTTTCTTTCTGGCTAATGTTTTGGTCACTTTTGAATGACCAAAGCAGCTACAACCCACACAAGTAGCTCAGGTAGTGCAGCTCATCCAGGATGGCACATCGATGTGAGATGTGGCAAGAAGGTTGTCTGTCCGTAGTGTCCATAGGCGCTACCAGGAGACATGGAGGAGAACAACAACCCAGCTGCAGGACCACTACCCCCGCCTTTGTGCAAAAAGGAACAGAAGGAGCACTGCCAGAGCCTTGAAAAATGACTTCTACAGATGGGGGTTGTGCTCATAGCCCAACACCATCCAGGATGCTTGGCATCCATCAGAGAACACCAACAAATTCGCCACCACTGCCCTGTGCTCGCCACAAAAGCAGCTTCACATTGAGCACATGACAGAGTCTGAAAACATGGTGGAGGGGAATTGGCTGCCTGCAACATCCTTCAGCATGATTGGTTTGACAGATGGTCGGTAATGGTGAGGGGTGGCATTTCTTTGTGCTCGTCAGAGGTAGCATGACGTCCATTAGGTAGGGAGATGAGATCCTCAGACCCCTTGTGAGACCATATGCTGGTGTGGTTGGCCCTGGGTTCCGCCCAATGCAGAACTATGCTAGACCTTGAAGCCTTTAAGCTATGGACTGGCCCACCCGTTCCTCAGACCTGAATCCAATTGGGCATATCTGGGACATCATGTCTGGATCCACCAACATCACGTTGAACCAGACTGTCCAAGAGTTGGTGGATGCTTTAGTCCAGGTCTGGGAGGAGATCCCTCAGGAGACCATGTGCTACCTGATCAGAAGCATGCCCAGGCATTGTAGGGAGGTCATACAGGCACATGGAGGCCACACACAATACTGAGCCTCCTTTAGACATGTTTTTAAGGACATTACATCAAAGTTAACTTGGCCTGTGTGTTTATCCACTTTGTGTGACTCAAAATCCAGGCCTCCATGATTAATAAATATGATTTTTTCACGATTTTGCTGTCAGCACATTCAACTCTGTACAAAGTATTCAATTAGAATACATCATTTATTCATATCTAGAATGTGTTGAGTCTTCCCTTTGAGAGAGATAGAGAGTTGAAGGGAGTGGAAGGGAGAGGAGTTAAAAATATTACAGATTGATATTAATTCTAATTTAAAACATCTGGATTTTGGAACGGCTCTTACAGTTAAAGACAAGAATGAACACCATAGGGAGGTTGAGCCATCATTTAGTTTAGGAAAAAATAGGTTTTGTGTCTCAGAGATAAACAGGATGTGCATATGAAACCCAGAACAAAAGCAAAAAGAAGTCCATCATAATAAACCCATTGGTTTATAAGGTTTGTGCACCAACAACCTCCCTCTCGCTGCAATTACCTTAAGAGCCACTACACTTTGTAATGACTCCTGTAACAAGGTCTGAAATGCCACTCACACGGGAAGAAGCCATTTCTGCAAATGCACCATAAAAAATGAACAAATGAAGACAGAAATTAATATCTGTCTGGGCCCATATTCAAAAGGATTCCTCAAAGATATTGTATATTCCTGCCAAGGAGTTGTAGCTTAAGAGTGATTGAGCTGTTCTATCGGAGCAATTTTTAATAAGATGTTGTTGACACTGTTGCTATGGAATTACTTTGGTCACATCCACATTAATTTGATTTGCTTGTTTACTCTCTATGCTAGTAATTTTACATATATTTTATGTAAAATCGTCTATCTGCATTCTAAAATGGCATCCTGCTTGTTTAAGATGATTTGATTTAGGAAAACCATGAAATGTAAAGAAAAAAAGGTTGAGGAAACCTTGCTGGGGAGGGAGCTCCAGGACAAAAATAAATTTTAATATGAAAAGGTCCAGAAGTCATGGTGCAAAGAGGCACACTTTAGGGGGTGTTGCTGAGCCCTTAAAAACAGATTTTTCTCTGCTTTTATGAAACAGGAGAGAAATAAATGACATTCCCTAATTCAAATTTGGTTACAACTGTAACTTTTACATCAGATTCTTTGTATGATAACAAAATCAGTAGCAGTCATACAACAAAAAGATTGAAATCAAGCACCTTTATTTTTTCACCTTAAACCTCCACTGAGTTAAAACAGCCGACCCATTTCTTCACATGTACCCAATCTATAAAAATAAAACAGGCGAATGAGAGAGAAGAGCCACAACGTCGCTCTCCTCTTTATTTACATCAAATATAGAGCTTTCAGTTCTCATCGCAATATAAACAGGAATACAAACCTAGAACGGATGTAGTGCTCAAGTAGGGACACTGATGCCAACCTTGTTTGTTTTTATTCGAAAACATACAGAAATCCACGAACCTCTCATCACGCATAACTCACAAAAAGTAAAAACAGTGACTCATTTCACATTTTATAGTTGCACATGTGACCTCTATCACAATCAATATAAACTCCCCATTTTTTAATGCGAAAAATAAAATAACTTATATAAGCAAATTACCAAATAATCTGAATCAGTAATTTAATTGTTAGCAGCAGAGCTGAGTCAACCAGCACATTTCAAATTGGAATATAGATTTTATTATTTTTTTTATAACTCTTTTTTTTTTTTTTTTTGCTTGGGCAAAAATATTTTCAAGTGAATTGCAATACTGGAAAAATGTCCGTCACCGTGTTAGTTCCTCGATTTAAATCTGTTAGAAAAATAAGGGCTTTTGTAGAAAAGCTTTAGCTCTACTGTTAGCTAACAGACTGGGGAGGGGGGGTTAACATTAGGCTCTGGGAAATTCTGATTCCTGCACAGCTTTAAACTGAGCTTACACATCTACAAAACAATTAAATAACCTAGTGCACATTTATCTATGAGACTAGTTAACACCAAAAAATGGAAGACGCGGCTCAGTGACAGACGTTCAACATCCCCATCTTGTCAAAGAGATCCAATGGAAGAAGCCATTTGCGGCTTCAGATCAGTCAATGCGACGACACTGATCCTCTCGTTAAAGCAGTTTGAAATGCTCCTGCAACCCTGACAAAAACACTTGAGGCCAACATTGTCAGCCAACTCATATACATTGAAAATAAACTGGAACATAAGAGGAGTGGGCTGCCAGAGCCAGACCACCAGATTGATGTGTGCGCATTAAGTTTCTGAGTGTTGTCTTCCAGGAAATGGGTACAAATACTGCACTCTCTTTGTTAGCTTAGCCATTAAGCATTGGTGGGATTCACAGTGAGCAGCAGGTTTAGGAATCAGTCTGTGCGTGCATCATCGAGCCCCGGGACCACCGGGGCCCTTGCCTTTCCTGACTGCACTATGGCTGCTGTGGTGGTGGCTGTGGGCCAACTGCGAGTGGGAGCCGTGGGTAGAGGGGGCTCCTTTGGTGAGGGGGGAGGAGCTTCTGCTAGGGTTGAAGGCTGGGCTGGTAGCAGGCCGCCCCAGGGAGGGCTGCAGGGGGCTGGAGGCAGAGAGGCCGGCTGAAAGGAAGGAACGGAAAAACAGCATTGTTACTTCGCTTGTAAAACCAGCCTAGATAGTTATGAGCCAATAACCGGTTTAGTTACACAATTAGTTCACAAAGAAATATCTCTCACAATTCAGATAAAAGTTTTTAAGGAGACACCAAAAGGTCATCGGATTGGCATGTTTATTTTATTAGCAAAATCCATGTGAAACCGGAGTTTGCTCATAAAAATCAAAGACAGATGGAAAAGAATGAGACGTTAAGAGCATCACGGTGGTCCAGTGGCACAAGAATAAGCACACATCCAAAAAGCCGTACCGTTGAAAGAAAAGCTGTTTTTACGAGCAGCACAAAGACTGCAGACTTCAAAAGGTTTAAAAGTTTCAGCAGCTTCAGTTTTCGTTTTATACTAACAGGGTGATCCCCATAGAGCAAAGAATTCAAACCGCTGTCACACAGCAACCGCAGGCTTTAACATCTCTCACTGGGATTTTATGTGATAGACCAACACAATCTAATGCAGGATAATGTAGTGGAGGAAAATAATACTTGGTTTTCTGAGTGGAAAATGAGGCATTATTGAATCTCCTTTACTCCGACATCCTTTAAATGAATAAAATAATGTGACTGAAAGGGAAAACAAGTTGTGTCCCTCAGATAAGGTTTAAAAATCTAATTCATTATTTTGTGCCTTAACTAAATAAAAATGAGCTGGAATTAAAGCTTAAAACAAAGAAACTTAGAAATAAAACAACTTGTCAACACAATTAGAACAAACTTTTGGCCACTAGGGGCACTAGACCTCTAACTTTCACATCTAGTGCCCCTAGTGGCCACAAGCGGCGCAGCACTGTCCCAAAAGTCAACAAACAGTTGGCCAGCCTCATGTGTCTTTCGATTGGGGAATACGCTACGTGTCTAGGCTCAGCTTGGAGGGCCTGAGAAACGCTGCTGCCAGCATACCCAAAGTCAATACGCAGACATCAAGACGACAGCTTTGCGTTTATCCCTTTAGTTCTGTACGAAAAATAGATTTTAAACTAGCTGGATGGGCATGTATCCCTGTAGTCATGTACAAAAAAAGACTTTTTAAGGTCAGATTGCCATACGCTTAAAAAAAATACCAAAAAGTTATTAAAGTTGTAGGGAAGCAGCTGTTCCAACATTGCATTTCCAAATTCTCCCGAGTGGACCCCGACTTTACACGAGTGAATAAAGTGAATGTGATTGGTCGATTATCAAGGGGGCGGGATTGTTGTGGACGGAAAGTTCTAAAGCATTTTGGTTGTGTCCGGTGACTCGGACGCATCTTACTAACCAGTTAGCAACTTAGTGCTAGTAGGTTCCCAATAGGAAATTACATTGGGACCAAGTAGCACTTTGCAACGACACTGTCAAGGAACGTTATGGACAGCGGAAACATGGAAGAGGAGGAGAGAGTTTTGTTTCAGAGGTCCTGGAGGAGTCTCCTCCATCATGCATTTTTTTATTTAGAGGAGGAAAACGGGGATGAAGATATTGTGGAAGAGGACGCCAGGGCGACGGAAGCTTGGTTTGGTGTAGAAGGCTTATAGCCGTACATGTTTGAGCCCTTGCCTCGCAACGCTGCCTGTTCTTAGATCTACGCCTGCCGAAGACACAGACGTCCATCCCCATGAACACTGGGACGGAACTCAATGGTAAAGTAAATTATTCTTATTTCTTATTTTAACTGTTGCCTATATTAGCTACGTCATATGAATGAAGATGCTATGACTGAAAAAATTTGATTGACAGATGACCGTTGATATGACTGACCGAATTTAGGTGTTCAAGCTGACGTATAACTAACTGGCCTGCAAAAGATAACGGAAAAAAAAAACCCCACAGACTTTAAGACAGGATTTTTTATAAAATAGAAATTTTCTAACTTCTGGGACAATATGGTCTGATAAAGAGTATATTTATATACATGTTTAAGCCAGAATGATTTGACATGTAAACATGACTTCCCTTTAAATATTTTTTGTACATGACTAAAGGGATACATACCTGTTGAGGTAGTTTAAAGTGTATTTTTTTATACAAAACTAAATGAATACAAAGAAAGATCTATGACTGTATATTATGAGCAAAGTGTTAACTTACCAGTCTAATAATAAAGTTGAGAAAAGAATTGGTTTTACATCTGGCTACTTCTTTCATCCTGAGCCAACGAATGAACTCCAACAACGATCGAATCCTGTTTTTCCTCACATTTTCCTCACATTTTCTCCTTTTAGCCTCCTCAGAAGGTTTAAACTTTTTCCTTGCCTCAGTCATGACCAGTAGTTGAGCAGGCGGGAAAATAGTAGAGCAAAAGCCTTAGCTCCATGACTATATCAGAGCCTGCAGCCATAAGGCGATACTTTCTTCCAGGTCACATGACCTGGTCAACTCCCTAATTACATAGTATTTCAAGAGGGGAGCCTTGCTCGTAGCAGTGATAATGTCAAGTGCTGTATATTGGCCTGAGGAATCATTTAAAATAAAATATGTGTCAACTCTTTAGGTCACAAAGTCTACGGTGTGCCTTTAAGCAAACAAAGTTTGGTACGAGTCAGACAGTTTATGAATCTTAAGCCAGAGTATGGCGTGGGAATGACATTAGACCAACCTTTAGAAACACTGTATCCGTAAGCGGCATAAGCCGCTGCTGAGGCTGCCGCCGCTCCAGCCATCGCTCCTGCCATGGCTGCTGCACTCCCAGCCGCTGACTTCCGGCTACGCCCTTTCCCTCCAGACTTGCCGCCGCTTCCGGATCCTTTGGGCCGTCCACGACTCCGACCGGAACGGCCTCTACCGGGACTGATGGACTCAGAGGCTGTAACACCTGTACACATAAAAAAACATTAAAAAATACTGAATTGTGCTTAGTTTTTTTTCTTTGGAATACTGGATTCTAGAAGATTATCTGTTTAATTTCTTTAGATTTTCACATTCTTTGGAAAGTTTTTCAATTATTCTTACATTTAAGAATGTCAAAGACAAAATATAGATCAGAAATATGTCATCCTTTTTATAGATTTTGTAAAAATGAAAGAAAATTTGTTGATTTCAGTCTTTTTAGCTGCAGGTTTTTATTTAAAACTGATGCAAGAGGATCTAAAACCCATTATTGAACACGTGTGCATTTATTGCTATGTTCTCTAACAGTAAATACACTATTTAAACATAAAATCTAGAATTTTTCTTTTATTCTTATCAAAAGTTAAATTTTTGTCTTTCAGGTACTGGAATAAAAGACTAAATGCAGGAAATGCAACCCTTTTTTGTATTTAGTTTCCTTTTTAATATCGGATCCACAATAAACTCTTATAGGAATCATAAAGGTGATAACTTGGTAGATTTTGTGTAAAGCCGTCTGTCTTCACCGTTTTCAAATCAAATCACCAGAAACCCCCTGAAACCCCACAGCGTATGAGAGCTGCTGCTTGACTTGGCCCTGCCTCACTTTACTAAACATACTGCGGTAATTTTATGGCATTAAAGAAGTTTAAAACATTAATCATCTTATAATTACCATAAATACAGACCAAGAAAAAATATCACTCTCAATTTTCCATACAGTTTGCAAAATAGGACCCAGTTCCAGGCTCTGTGGTAGAGTCCTGTAGCCTCTGCTCTCCTTCTCCTGCTGCCCACATCATACTGGTGGTCTAATTTATTTCAATGATTCGCTCCATTTAATGTACTACACAGCCTATAATATCACTAACAGTAAGGCATGCATGAACATTTGATTTCTTTCGCTGCCTTCTTGCTTATAAGTGACTCCTTTTTGCCGTTTCCCATATTTGTCCAAGTTCACCAGTTGATTCTTCATTCATGAAAGCAGACCTTACATTCAAATGTGAGCTGCTCTCCGAAGGCATCCAATGTATTTAGGCCTGATCTTCACCAGGCATTAATTATTTTACAAGTAGGTGCCTTTTTAGTAAGGCAACAAAAAGAAAAAATAGGTTCCACCACATGTCAATAAAGCTTGTGGTTATAGACGATTACAGCATATATCCCATCCCTCTGGATGCCAAAGCTCAGCATAAAGATCATTTTTATCAATCAAGTTATTAAATTAAGAGCAGATGCAAGAAGCAGGCATCACATAGGTTAAAAGTGCAGAGAAACAATGTGGGACATTTAAAAAAACATGTCTTCTAGGCTCCAATCAAATGTGTTTCAGTGCTCCACATTTAAAGGGGCCTGAAATATAATTCATACTATACACAAACACAAAATAATGAATAGCTGTGACCAGGGCGTGAAATTGGCACCTGCCCACACGCAAACTCGTCAACCTACCTGAAAGGACAAAACACAACGCTGAGCAAGTTTTGTGTTGTTGACCAATCAGCCTATTGGTTTTTTTTAAGCAAGCACTGCTCTTTTCTTGGATTTTTAGAAAACAAAATGTTGCAAAATATTGCTGCCCTTTAACTGTTACAACAGTTAAATCCGTTATTACTGTGTTGTAACTTCTTTTTCCGAGCATGAGCACAACCACGCTGATGCAGAATTGCGATGCAAGCTCGATGCTGAGCAGAGCTGAGGGTGAGCATCAGGTTGTTTAGCAAATAGGCAAAAACCAAAATACTTTGCACAGTTTCTTACAAACAAACTGTGTAGGTAGTTTAAAGAAAAGTTAGTTAAAAAGGTTAAGACATGTCAATACATCAACATGTTAAGCTTGTTAATAATCTGAAAGGGTTAGGGTCAAACCAACAACTACCGTAAGAATAAAAAGAGATTTATCATATTTAATTAAAATCGATAGACTCGCAGAAATTAAGCTATATATATATATATATATATATATATATACACCCTTAGTGTGCGGCACACTGGACCAGCTCTATACCCTTCATTGGTGCTCAAGGATTCGTGGAAGTTTGCCCAACCAGTCCACATCTGTTTAGTGGATCTGGAGAAGCCGTTCAACCATGTCCCTCTGGGTGCCCTGTAGGGAGTGCTCTGGGAGTATGGGGTCCGGGGCCCTCTGTCAAGGGCTGTCTGTTCTCTGCATGACCGCAGCAGGAGCTTGGTTCGCATTGCTGGCAGTGATTCAAACCTGTTCCCAATGCATATTGGTCTCTGCCAGAACTGCCCTTTGTCACCAGTTCTGTTCATTACATTTATGCACAGAATTTCTACGTGCAGCCAGGGATCAGAGGGTGTCCATTTTGGGAACCTCAGGATATCATCTCTGCTGTTTGCAGAGGATGTTGTTCTGTTGGCCTCAGGAAACCAGGACCTTCAGCGTGCACTGCGGCAGTTTGCAGCTGAGTGTGAAGCTGCAGTGAAGTGCGGGGTTGGCAGTGATGAGGTCGCTGTATTAGACTGTCGTGGTGGAGAGGGAGCTGAGTGGGGGCAGCAAAGCTCTCGATTTACCGACAGATCTATGTTCCCACCCTCACCTATGGTCATGGGATCTGTGTAGTGACTGAAAGGACAAGATCACGAATACAAGCGGCCGAAATGAGTTTCCTTCACAGGGTGGCTGGGCGCAGTTGGTTGGGGAGCTCAGAGTAGAGTCGTTGCTCCTCCACAGCGAAAGGAGCCAGCTGAGGTGGCTCGGGCATCTATTACGGATGCCTCTTGGTCGCCTCCCTCGGGATGTTTTCCAGGCATGTCCTTCAGGGAGGAGGCCTTGTGGAAGGCTCAGGAGATGCTGGAGGGACTATGTCTCCCAGGTGGCATGGTGTCGCCTCAGGGTAGCTGGAGGAAGTGTGCGTGGATTGGGAAGTCTGGGCATCTCTGCTTATATTGCTGCCTCCAAGACCCAGCGCCAGATAAAGCGGAAGAAAATAGATGGATGGATATAACAACTACAACATTTTATTGTGATTTCAACTAGAAAGTTTTTATTAAGACCCTAAAAGTATATTTTTTAAATGTATCATAACAGTTTAAAAACAGCCGTTAGTTTGATCCTAAACTTATCAGCTCTGCATTGAATTTAATTGAACATAAATCATACGGGTCCAAATGTTACGCATTTCCTCACCGTTCATGTTGTCAGAAACCGATCCCGTCACAGAGGCGGGGGAGTTGGTGGCACGAGACTGCGGCGCCGAAGAACCCGGATCATCCACGATGACCAGCATGTCGCTGCTGCTTTCGTCAGGGTCGGCGTCCGGTGGCAGTGAGCCGGGCTGCAGTTCGCTGCTCAGGGAGATCTGGCCGCGCACAGAAGCACACACAGAAACACAGACAGGCTGAGGGTCAGAACCACGGGGGGGGAACAGGAACCGGGTCGGTACAGCAGATGAGGAAAGAAAGGAAAGGATGCAACAGGTGTGTTGAATGCATAGGAATAAAGAAAAATCAGAGTGGATAAAAAAAAAAAAATTAGGGAAACTATATGCAGTGGAATAAATTAAATAAAGGTTTTAAAATGCAAATAAATTCACAGGCAACATGTTGCAGAGCAGCTAACAAAGATGTTAAGGTACCAGACTTATTTAGAGTATTTATGATGATTTGTCCATAACTTTAACAAACACCCCATGCTTTCTAAAGGCCTCTACATTCCCCCACCTCGCTGAAAGGACTGGGCATGGCCGAGTCCATCTCAACGCTGATGAACGAGTCGTCCCCGTCTGCCGACAGGTTGGAGTTATCGGCCGACGGCGCGTGGGCGATGACCAAGTTCACCTCCTTCTTCTTCTTGTTCTCCGACTCTTCGATCTTCTTCTGCTGGTCGGACAAAGAAAGGAGGAGGCAGAAGATAAAGGGTTAATATAGATAACTTTACTTAAAGGGTTTCAGTTTCCTTCTGGGACAGCATTTATAAATCTAAACATTTATCATGAATTAAAAGCAGATATCTAAAGCAAAGCGTTGCAGATTTTTTATCGCTGTGTCGATACCTTCTCAGCATACTTTTCCCTCTTCCTCTTCCGTTCCTTCACCTTGCTGCTCTCCTCCTGCTGCCTCTTTTCCTCCTGTCTTTGGCGCACTACAGGAAGACACACATTGGGTTCAGTTTCCTCCTTTCCTGCTACAGCTATCATTTGTTTTGTTTGTTTTTTTGCTACTGAAAGGCACATGCTCACATTTCTTCTCCAGCTCATCGTCATCTAAAAGTAGACTGACCACCTCTTTAGGCTTGAGTGTATCCGGTTTGAAGTTCCCTCCAGAGATCACCACCCTTTGGATCTGGGCACATTTAACACACAAACATTAATCAATGCAGCCATGCATACTTGATAATTGTTTAACTTATAAGACATAAATATTGATTCTCTGTAGCTGTGCGCAGGGTGTTTATCAGACCTCGCTCTTCTCCTTGGCGCGCTGCAGGATCCTCTCTTCAATGGTTCCCTGGCAGATAAGGCGGTAAACGGTGACCTGCTTGGTTTGACCCAGCCGGTGAGCCCGGTCCATGGCCTGCTGGTCCACTGTGGGGTTCCAGTCGCTGTCATAGAAGATGACCTGGATGGAAGAACGACAACGTTTGTATTTTTGAACCACAGTAAACAAGGAAAAGGACAAATTCATTACCATAGATGGATTTTAAGCCATTTTACAAAATCACTCTAATCCATCGTAGCCAATAAGCTAAAGCAACCATGTAGAACGTGTCTTGATCTTTAAAGAAATCTCTGTTTAAGTTTGAATATGATCTCTAATATTTCCTAGCATGTGGGACTCACAGTGTCTGCAGCAGTCAGGTTGATGCCCAGTCCTCCGGCTCTTGTGCTGAGCAGGAATACGAAGATATCCGTACTGTGGATGGCAAATGGCGAAAAGGTGAGAATTTATTCACCCTTAAAATACAAATATTCAATCATTTTCAATTCCCTTCACATTTTCTTTTTGGGGAATTTTCAACATTTTAGTCCAAAAACAAATGATAAAAGCTTGTGAAATGTTTGAATAATTCAGCATCCTGAGAGAGAAAAAATATTATTTAACACTTGTGTTAAGTTTTTGTGTACCTCAAGTTAGACCTTCTTTTCCTTCTTTACCTGCAGCCTTACTGTAGAAAAGAAACTGTTCTGGCAGCTAGGAGCTTATGCTCTCTCTGTGTCATGTGACCTGCTGGCTGAACAACTCTCAACACAAGGCTTTCAATCTTACAAATTCCAAGCCAGACGGGGATCTTTTGTGACCAGACTAATAATTGGAACCATAAAGACCAACTATGCTAGCATTGGCTTAGTGAAAGATAGAAATGGATAAAGCTGCATGTGAAACATAATTGGTGGGTTTATTAGATGAAATTTAGTGCAGTTTGTTATTCTATTGCACTCAAAAGCAACCAAGTTTCCAAGCATATACACAGCATCAGTTTTATTGGGACAGTAAACAATAGGGCTGGGTAAAAAAATCGATTTTGAATAATTCCTTTACATTTTTGCAAAATCGATGTCTAGGGAATGAGATTGACTAGTTTTATAGTGACACGTGTGACGTTCACATTCAAATGAGCAGGAAAGATGCACTCAAGATTACTTCAAGCCAGACAGCTGCAAATATACCCAATAGGTTCACTGAAGACATTAACCAATGGGGGCTGACCAGAAAACACCCTGTAGGTGTTACAGACAACTCTGCAAGTATGGTTTGTACAGTGAAGATAATGCAGCTCCTGCATGTCTGCTGTGTCACGTCTGCTCGCTCGAGTGAGGCTTCACTTTTTCACTTTTCACAAACAAGCTTGCACTTTTGAGACAGTTTTGTTCACATCTCCTGTTTAAACTGTCAGATTTAAAAGTTTGCACTTTAATATGACAGGAAAAAATTAAATACATGGGTATTTTATTTAAACACAGTTAAACCACTTTTAATATTGTAAAAACAGATTGAATCAAAATTAATTGATTTAGAACTCTAGGAATCAAAATCGAATCGATTCAGGACTTCGGCTAAAATACCCAGCCCTAGTAAACAAACAAAATAAAAAACAAGAAAAACTGTTTATTAATGCATCAAAAACTAAAAAAGCACTTGGAGAGCGCAGACCTCCGACTTATATTGTGAACTACACCTACAGCTAAAACTCGCTAATCCGGATCATGACTTTTGGAGTGCAATGCTGACGCTGTAAATAGTCACTACTGCCCCCCTCTGGTATGGGGGGTGAACTGCTTATTTCCTCCATTAATCACTATCTCACAATGCTAAAGAATCCTTTAAAAAAAAACCTGCATCTGGGTTAAAAATTTGATTAAAATCCACCCAAGCAGATTTAAAATAATTGAAACTGTCAGAAAATGAATGACAATCCCTTCAGAAGCCAAATGGCTGTCAAAAGATAATTTACATAAAAACTGTTCCTGAAAAATAAATAAAATGATAAAAATGGCAGATTTTAGAGAAACAAAGGACTGACAAACAGAGCCAGATACCTCTATTGTGTTTATTTTCTCCACATAAATCCTGTTCATCATTTTTTTTCTGGTCACTCTACCCCCCCCACTTCTTTCCAGTAACTTCATGCCCTCCCAGTTTGAAAACCACCGTCCTAAATGCAAACAATAGAGTAAGACAGGGGCCTGGGAGCCCCGCTAATGCGATCCAGAACATGTGGACACCAAAACTCAAGGCACACATATGCTTGTAATATCTGGATGTTTGATAAAACTGTTCACTGATTGCTATAATATACAAAAGGGAAGCATTACATGGCCATTTTTAGTACACTCACCGGCTCTGGAAGTCAGCCACCATATCTCTGCGTTCAGAAATCTTGGAAGATCCATCAAGTCGGATGTAGGTGTGTTTTCGATAAACCATATACTCCTAGGGAAAAAAAAAAATTATACCACACATTGTTTAAATATTTATAAAGACCAAAAATTCGTTGATTCCTAGTGTGGAAGCCTGCAGACATACAAAGGTCATAAACAATACAAGAGAAATGACTGATTATATGCTGATTACAAAAACAACTACTGTTTGTTTCCACTTTTCAAACACAATGAATAAAATGGACCAAATCCTGAATTGCATTTCTGAAAGAGTACAAAGTTTGGAATAAGTTGAACCTTCTTGGATCTGACTTAGAAACCTACTGACATTTTTCTTCCAAACATGTTGAAATTCAAGTTGAAAACAGTTTTTTTTTAAAACATCTTGCTGCAGAAAGAAAATTTCCAGCAACTGTCGACTGACCTTAACAGGCTATTTAATATGAAACTCTATTGAGCTCATTCTCTAAGGAACAGACAGGCCCAGCAGAGCTATTGATTACACTTCAAGAGTTGAGAAATATTTATCTTCATTATGATAATCTGTCTGTGACATCACTTTTTTTGTTGAAAATATCCTAATTCCACGTTTTAAAAGTAGGTTTAAACCCAGTGAGACACTAAGAACGACAGATATTGATGCATTGACACTTTATCCTCCCAGAAGTCTGCTTAGCTGCTCTGAGTGTCGGTGTGGGGGTGTTCGGGTTGACGGGAGGGTCTGAGGAGCACTGATGAGGTGACACACTGATCCCGCTTTAAGTACTGCCATGAACTTACGACCTCCTTGTTACAATACACGGGTGCCCCCCAAAGCAGTCACAATCCCTAAAACCCATCACGGCTCACCTCACACAATCATTAGCGACGATATGAACGATTTGACACCGTGTTTTCTATGTCCTTTATCATGACACCAGGCCCTCTGCCCCACCAGGGCCTGCCCTCCTCGGCCTGTCTGGCTCCGTTCCCATGCACCCCATCTGCTCTGAATGAACACCGCATTAGGAACCACTCGCACATTAGAGCTCCAAAAATGTTCCCAATCCTCCAGAATCCGGTTCTTATTTCTTCTGAGAAAAATGGCGTCCAAAAATAACATGGAAATGATCAGAAGAAAGGTTTCAAGGACAGTTGCTTGGCTGCTTTCTTAGCAAGCATTGAGAAACTGAGATCTAATCGGCTTTAGCTCTGACACATCGTATAGGACATGACATTTTAACACAGATGATATGATTTAAGGAATACATTGGTCACGCTCAATCTCCTGTGTTTATTTTTTCATTGAACCATCAAAAGCTGATTATAAACTGAACCAAAATGAAAAATAAGAATAAAAGGTTGGATGGGGAAAAAAGAATTGATAAAAATCATCATCCTGGACATCCGATTGAAAGAGACAGGAATTTATTCAAGGATCAAGTTTTTCAAGGATCCTCTCAACAAAACTAGATGTGTGCCTATGCTCTTTAACAACACATTACTATTTCTTTTCAACATGTGAGGCAAATTTAAACAAAAAAGAAATCCTGTTTTAAATCAGTTAAAATGATGTTATTATTTGCTAAAAGCCAGAATCGTGTTTTACTTTCTTTAGAATCAGATGTTTACATACACTAATATTACGAAGCTCAGACGATTATGTCATATCTTTGTACCTTTCCTGAAAAAGAACCCGAAAACCTCTGCCTCCTTGTCCAGCATCAAGCATAAATTAAAAAAATAAATAAAAAATCAGGAAGAGAAGTGTGTACCTCCATACTGATTTTATTAAAGAGTATACAAGGTTTCCTATTCATGTTTGGAAACAAGTACATGCAAAAAAAAAAACATAATAGAAATGTTAGGGGGACTATTTCACAAAAACTGGATTTAGATAAAAAGCTAGGCTTTACCTAGCATGATCAATGCATCCTGACTTTATCTGTTTCACAAAGGCCAAGCCAGGCTCAACATGTGTGATTATGTCTATGGATGTAGACGAGTGCCACTATACAATGAAGAAATAACTTCTGAAATAATTATTTAATGCGTATGGTAATAAACTGGTAATACATTATTTAATCAAATATATACAGATTTTATTTCAAAAAGTAAATATAATTATTTCATGATTTAATAAATGATTTCATGTTCCTGAGGAACACCATGAATTAAATCAAACGGCTCTATCAAAGTCAAGAAGGCGGTTTCCATAGAAACCCTGATGACTGAATGGCTGCTTCACACTGACTAAAATAGGACAAATTCTTTCTTTTTCTTTTCCTCCTAAAGTTAATATTATCTCTAAAAAGGTAACATATTTACAGCACACTAATTGGGCAGTTCCAGCCTCTATATCCATAGTTCCTTCAGACTTCAGCTCACATTCTCTTTTTAAAACTTTATAGAGACCAAACGAGGAATATAGAGGCTGGAGTTGCTCACTAAGTCTGCTGTATAGGCATTGCAACATATTTTAGAAAAATGTTAACTTTATAGTAAATAAAAATCTTCGTTAGTGAAAAGCAGCCAATCAGATGTTAGAGTTTCTATCGAAGCGGTTCTAGAAAAGTCTGCTGTGCGGACTCCATGAAATGATTAAACACAGACTAAAACAATGAAATGTGTATGTAAATAAATTAATATTAGATTCAACTATTTAATTTTACATTTCATAATTTAATGGTTAATTTATTTTTTAAATCATGTAATTTAATAAATTCATGGTACATTGATTTTTTATTATATATTTACACCTATTTATTTAATGCTATATCGAACCCTCCATATATGGCTCAGGTCATCGTCATCAAATATATCTTCCTAACCAGCTTTCTTAGATGAGTTAAAAGAGTTGTCATTTTTCAATTGACTTAAACATTAACAGTGAAAAGTAAAACTGTAACGTGCAGATCTTGAAGTGATAGATGTTAGTTTTTTGCAGCGATGTTGGCTGGAGCTGTCAACAAAGTCATCATTCACAGAGAGGACATCATGTCTCAAAATCAAAAGAAAAAAGCAGATTAGATCGACCCCAGGGCTGAAATCCTTATTAAGGGACAAAGTGAAACCAGTTGTTTGTTAGAACAGCACCAAGTTTATCCTCATCATACAGTTTATGAGGCAATTCTACCAAATACTAGAGACAACTAAATGTATACTTTAAAGATGTTTAAATAATTTTCCACAAAATCTATCTGATTTAATATTCTGGCATTTACTAAAACATTATTTTTTTTTCCTAAATGACCTTAAAAACGGCTGTGATTTTTTTACAGTGAATGTTAATATCAGATTCTCTGTATGAATAAAGAAAAGGAAAAAAGGAGAGCTAAAAATATCTTCAAGTCTTAAATAAAATAAGGGAATTATCATAGAAGGCAATCTTCACCATCGTGTTCATTTTTTAAATTTGTGATCCATCATCAGACTACCTGACGTCATCCAATAAAACCATCAGCCAGCAAGTGACCAAATCATAAAACAGAGATTAGGATCAGGCCTTTCCTTTGCTGGAAAAGGAGATCTTATTTTGTGGAAATCAAAACCATCTGCAGGATTTATTTCCCAACCAGCATAAAGAAAACAATGCATGAAGACAGCAGCCAGATTGGGTGAACGTATGATTTCATCCCGGATATCTTCTCCCTGTTAGGCAAGCAGATGCGGTCACACCTATCCTCAGCTCCCTTCTATTGCACTATGAGCTCACTTATCAACAGTCTATCTTGATTCACGAGGCACACGCTGGGAAAGCCAGTGAGAGGGATATTAAAAAGAATGGCTAGCTGTCTTAAGTGCTTTTTTCAGTCCTCTAGTCTTCGACCTAAACGTGAGGTATACTCGCTACTTTACAGACACGCAGGAAGACGACTCTTAACCACCAGGGTCAGGTCCATCAGCCATCGAAAAGTCTGGCTGTGGAAATAGGACGACATCAATCGAAAGGGGAAGGAATTCCCAGTGACATCATGCCGGAGACTTTTGGCTCCATAGAGATGGTTGCGACAAACATGGAGGAAACAACAGTGCTGCACTGAGTTTCTGATGCAGAATAACCATCAGAGCTGCTTCGCTTTCTTTCCCATAAAGAAACAAAATTATCAACTCGAAATCTGGATCTTTAAAACCTAACTACAGTACCTTGACCTTTGATCAGATTAATGCTAACCAAGAGGATCTCTTTTTGATTTCAATAACATGTGTTTTGACTTCAAACCATTTATTCGATGCTCAGAAGAAAAATAAAAAGGTCAGTTACTCGTTGCCATCTTTATAATTTTTCTGGTTTTGCCCTAAAGGTGGAGGAATAATGATCTAAATGCGTTACCCTACCACCCAAGGGTTTTAGCATCTTCAAGCTCTCCCTTCTTTCATCACCACTTTTTGCTCCTCCACCCATCTGCCTGGCTCCCCTGCAGATGAGACCCCTCTAATTAGCCCTGACCTGATAATTATCCATCTAATAGGCTCGCTAACGAGGGACAGGCTGGCTTATTAGTGGTGCTGGAGCTCAAAAACCGTAACAGACGGCCTGTGAAACAACTCATCAGCATAAAACATAAATGTATATGCAAACAGTGGATGTGGAGACGAGGTTTGTGTTCTAGTTCATACCTCAAGCAGGTCTATCATGCGGGTCATTTGGGAGTAGATGAGGACCCTGTGCCCCTGGACCTTTAGTCGGTTCAACAGGTTATCCAAAGTGTGGAGTTTGCCACTCTCTGTGATCAGGCTTTCTTTATCTGAAAGAAGAAAACAAATTAACCCAGGAAAAAAAATAGAGACACTGCAAGTCAAATGTTCAATTTTGGTTTCACTGCTGAAATTACACTCCAAATCTAGAAATAAGTAAAATTTCTTAAATTAAGTCTATTTTCCCTTAATTTGAGCCGGTAGATAAGAAGATTTGACAATGGAATCAGTATATTTAATCTTAAAATGAGATAATATGTAAATGAAATAAGACAATGTAATAGTTTTTTTCTTTTCATGAATTTAAATTGTCTTGTTCCATTGGCAAAGTGTCTCACTTACCTCCTCAATTCAATAACAAATGCACTAAATTTAAGAAAAAATGACTTATTTAGATTAAAATTTTTTGCAGCACACAGAAAAAAATTGAGCGTATAAATTTAACCCATTAAAAAAAAATGAAAGACTTAGAAGAAATATCAATACATTCGTGTTATCAATTGGCAGCTGTGGATCTCTCTACATCAAAGAAATTATGTTTGCACCAATGCACCAGTAACGAGGGTATTTCTGAATATTGACAGCTTTTTTATTTAATCTTTGTTTCAGTAAAAGCGATTTCTTAGTTGTCGTCTGATGCAGCATCACATTTTCTCCTTTTCTATCAACAACCGACTAATGAGAGCAGACTGGGCAGCAATCTGACCCCTGGCTTGCTGCTGAAGTGGTTCTCTGATGAGGAATTAACAACATGTGGTGAATAGCTGAATGAGGAGAAGGTCAGCGCTGCCATCGACCCAAAGACAGGCACACTTCTGTGTTTGACCCAGGGGTCATGGCACCGGGAGGAGACAAGCAAAGGCTGACATGGCTGAACAGAGGTTACAGGACGGTCCCAATGGGAGAGTTAAGCATGCCTGTCTTAGATTTAAATTGATAAAAGTTTCTATTTTTTTTTTAAGTTTAAACCTCCAGCTTTTCAAACTTTCCTTATCTAAATTTCTATTTTCCTTTCAAATTATTATAATCAACTGAATAAATCTCAGGCATCTCAAATTTAACAAAAAAAAAAACTGTCCAGTACCATTCACATCCTTCTGGTATTTCCTCGACACAACTGTATGCTAATACGTACCCAGACTGAACTCTGAACTGTGACCTCCGTAGGATAATCCCTAAAAAAGGTCAGGTCCTGTAGAGGTGTTAAAGAGGAACTAATAGAAGAGATGAATGGGCAAAATGCTCTGGGGACGCTCACAAAAGGTCAATGACATATCAGAGCAGAAAGGTGTTAGCCTGATAAATACTTTAAGTCCTGGTTACATGGACGTAAAGCTCCTTAAAAAAGGATTAGCTCCCAGAGTAAATGTCTTTAATGTCATTTCCCTTCTCTGGCGGAATGATTTTTTTTAATAGACAGTCCAGCGTTTCCAAACAGGAAAAATGCTGATCAAAAAAGCTTTAAAGAGGAAACTATGCCAGAAAACTGTAAAAAGAAAGTCAGCCAAACTCTGGAACTTGCCAAACAGTGTTACATGATCTCATAATATTTACCTTGCCACAATATTTCTTGTCAAAGTGAATCTTTCTCAAGGACGGCTGAGAGGTGCCTTTAGCATATGGCTTCATTTGATGAAATGTAAAGTATTAACCCTGTAAAGCCAAGAGTATAATATTTGGTACACTACTTTCTGAGACGTCAACATTATCGGTGTCATTTTTCACTTGGAAAAACCTGGTGTATACAATCAAACATATAGTGAACAGAAAAATCATAATAATTTGCATGTAAATGTCTAATGTCTTTTCAACTTAAATGTCTTAATCAATGAAAAAATGCACATTTATATATAATTTTTATGTCAGAAGACTAGTTTAAAAAAAAAAAAATTCTAACCATTATTTCATAATTAGGGGCTCATAGGGCTAACACGAGAGCTCTTATTTTGGAGTAGAAAGGAAGCCCTTCTAGAGTTGCACTATTTAACTGAGAGAGCTGACAAAGAAAAACACTTGTTTTATTTCATCATTATCAAACACACTAACTCTATTCCCTAAACATTTACTATAGTTCTGACAGACAAAAACAGAGATTTGCAGAAATGATACCCATTAGGATCTAATGAGGCTGTCACCGTGTGTCCTCTCATTAGCTTGATGCAATTTTCTACAAACGTCGGATACAGTAAACTTTTTATTCCTTTACTAATAGACAACATACCGGTAAGAATTTTTTTTGTGCAAAATATATACTGTGATCAAGTTCTAGAAAAGAAAAAAAAAATCACTGCAATAAATAAAAGGAGGAACTTTTATAAAAAAGAGGATAATACATGGTCTTCCTTGCAGAAATGGAACCAGAAAATAATCAAAATGGCAACAATCTTCCTCAATGGAGGTCAGCATCAGACAAAGCCTTGTATGAATCATAGTAATACTGCCTCGCTGCAGGAGCCAACGAAGCAAAGCGGTATTAGGGTGGTACTGCTTCTTGGAATAAAGAAAGAAAGGTTTAAGGCAGAGGAGACAGCGAGACTTGCTGGGGATTACGCATCCGAGAAAAGAAAATTGTCCAGGCAGAGTATGGGGTGCAGAAAGGCAGCATTAGCCCTGGTGGTGATGGTGGTGATGTTGTGGTTTGGAGCAGACAGGGCCCTCTCACCACAGGTGCCAGTGGATCCATTGCTGGTGCTCATTCAAAGACTTCCTTAAATCCATTGGGTCATACCAGCAAACACCCAGACACTAGCCACCACTTGGCAAAGATCTAAATGTTGATATAGGCCAGTATCGCTTAGCTCCTGAAAACTCATCTGTTTCTGTTTAGCAGATTCAAGCATCCAATGTCTGACCTCACTTTGGAACCGTTAAAAGTCTCAATCAAAGCACGTAAGGAACAGGTTTAGTTCGGTTAAGTGCATGACTGTCAGTTCACTGTCATGTTTAGAATTTTCAGTGACATTCGAATGATAAGGAAGGGATCAGCAAAAAGGAAACAGATTGAACCCAACTATGTCGACAAGGGAAACAAAAATAACACCCCTACAGCCATGCAGGCTTCCCACAGCAGAGCGAGGTGGCTGAGTTCACATACTGCTGCATGCAATCTAAATATTGCAGCCGAACCCTACAAAGGGATGCCAAGAAAGTGAATAATTTCAATTTGGGAGGGCTTTAGTGGTCTGTGTCACTTAGCCATAACATTTATGGCTTACGTTGTGAGCTGCATGTGGTTGCAGAGAAATGCATGAATGCTTCAAGCTACACACACAGTAATGAAGCTCTTAAAATGAATTATTAGGAGCTCAGAGGAGCTTTAATGGAAAAGAGCTTATACGTAAAATGCTTAATATTAACACTATTAAGATTTTTTTTATTATTGGACAACAATACGCAGGGTGTAACTGTGAAGTAAAGGAAAAACGTTTATGTTTACACAAAAGAATGATAAAAATATTCGGATTGAGCCCTCAGATAAGGAATCCTTAGAACAAACTAAAAGTAATTAAATTTATGAATATAAAGAGATGTGAACATCTACAGACTGAAACTTTATCTCTTTTACTTTTGATAAAAGCTTAAGCTCAGGCAGACCAAACGGGGACCAGTTAAAACACACATTTTCAGGTTTTACCAACAAATTAGATCAGCTCTGGACTTAGCTGTTTTCTTCCATGATTGGCGTATGCGGGCTGTGGGGTCTCTGCAGCTCCTCCAGAGTCACAAAAAGGCTCCTAAATCACTCTCTATAATTGATTAATGTACCAAACATAGCCAGATGAGATGCTCAGAGCTTAGGATACGGTTTTGGAATCTAACCTTGTTTTAAACTACTTCAGAATGTAACCTCTGGCCTCCTCGCTGTTTTTCTGGTACTTTGTGAAAATGGGTGCTCCATAATTCCATAAAAGTTTAAAAAAAAACAATCCACTGGACTTGGTTCCCAAGGTTTTAAGACCTTTCGCTTCCCGTCCCTGAAACTTTCTCAATTAAAATGTCTGGATTTGCAGAGAGTTTGAAGCTTTATATAGACAAGGCCTTGTATTGCTTGGAAACATGCAAATTGAAACAGACGAGCAGGTCGTTTGGATGACTGAGAATCTTCATCTCCATAATATTCTCTACCAAATATCTGATAACTCTAACAGCTTGATTGAAACAGAGAATAGGTAATTTCTGAAGGCATTCGGCTGCACAGGATTTTGTTGATGGTTGTCAGAGTAAAGAGGGCAGAATACAGCTTTCCCTCAAAAATACAGATTTATGTTTGTAAAAGAAAATGATGCATTCTGTTCTTTACTGCGCTTCCAGTGTCGACAGTATGAGGGAGCTGACAGTGAAACTAACTTAAATCTCAGCTCTTCTATCCCAAAAACCAAACATGAACCCATTGAGTGGGATGTTTTAGTTTACTTCTAACTGAAAACAGCAAAAAACAACAACAAACAACTGAAAATCAGGGACTGTGGTATTAACCACACCCCACAACACATGCTGTGTCACACCACTCTGCCGTTGCCATGGATACACATATCAAGCTACACCACCTGCCCTGTCCCACTTTCAGAACGCACCCCTCCCCTCATATGCGCTTCAATCCAATCCAGTCTAACAGCGGTATTCATGCAGCCGCCCCTCCCCACCTCCTCCTGTCTTCAACGCCTGCTGGCAGATTAAGCTACACTCCCCCTTTCTGCCTCATCCACGACACCCTCCAGCTCCTCCTCCACTGCTTCAGCCTCCCTCCTGCTCCCTTCTGACCCACCGCCTCCCTGCGGCTGCTGTCCCCCGACATTGTAATTCAATCCCTGCAGGGCCAAAGCCAGGGGCCTGACATGGTCCTGACCCAATTAGAGGCGTGCTGCCAGCTAATTAACCCGAGCCACAGCCCCTGGTGCCTGGCGCCTGATACTCCCTACCAAAGTAAGACGTTAATTTCATTAATACGCCACTACTGTCCTGTCCCCTTCCCCTCTGCCAAAGAGCGCCATTGCCCTCAGCGGAGAGGGAAGCGGGCCAGATGCGAGCGGCAGAGAGGATGACAAACAAC